AGGTGCTTCCAGCTCCCTAAAACACTCAAGCCAGCATTCCCCCAAAGGGGATGGAGTCAAATGTGAGAAAAATGAAACTCAGAATAGATTAAGTTTAACCCATAGTGAAAGTAGAGGGAGGGAGGTAGAGAGAGATGGCTCAGCAGAAAAGAGTACTGGCTGCTCTTGCAAGGGACTTGGGTTTGGCCTCCAGAATCCACAGTTCACACTCATCCATAACTCCAGTTCCAGGGGGTTCAGTGCCACCTTCTGACCTCTGAGGGCACCAGGCATGCATGTGATACACACACATACAGACAGACAGACAGGCAGGCAGGCAGACAGACAGAACACATAAAATAAAGATAAATAAGTCTAAAATAATTTAAAAGAAAGTATAAAGAGAATGTTTTCTTTAAATGACAGACAAATACTTCAAATTTTTCCCTTAAAAGAAAATTTTGCTTTCTGTTGTAATCATTTTATGGTTACCTCTCTTTTTCTTTTTTTAATTTGTTTTGATTTTTTTCCTTTTTTTATTTAAATTTGAAACAAGGTTGTTTTACATATCAATCCCAGTTCCCTCACCCTCCCATCCTCCCCCTATCACTCCCACCAAACCTCAGCCCATCCCCTTTCTGCTCCTCAGGGAGGGTGAGGACTTCCATGAGGTATCTTCAAAGTCTGTCACATCATTTGGGGCAGGGCCTAGGCCCCTCCCCATGTGTCTAGGCTGAGAGAGTATCCCCTCTATGTGGGATGGGCTCCAACGTCCATTTGTAATCTAGGGATAAACACTGATCCATTATTAGAGGCCCCATACACTACCCAGTCCTCCTAACTAACACCCACATTCAGGGGGGTCTGAATCAGTCCTATGCTGGTTTCCGAGCAGTCAGACTGGAGTCCATGAGCTCCCCCTTGTTCAGGTCAGCTATTTCTGTCGGTTTCTCCAGCCTGGTCTTGACCCCTTTGTTCATCACTCCTCCCTGCTGCAACTAGATTCCGGGAGTTCGGCTCAGTGTTTAGCTGTGGGTGTCTACTTCTGCTTCCATCAGCTACTAGATGAAGGCTCTAGGATGGCATATAAGGTAGTCATCAGTCTCATTATCAGGGAAGGGCATTAAAGGTAGCCTCTCTATATTGCTTAGATTGTTAGTTTGATTCATCCTTGTAGATCTCTGGGCATTTCCCTAGTGCCAGTTTTCTCCTTAAATCTATAATGGCTCCCTCTGTTATGGTATCTCTTTTCTTGTTCTTCTCTATTCTTTCCATGTCTCAATCTTCCTGTTCCCTCATATCCACCTCCCCCTCCTCTTCTCCCCTTCTCTTTCTCCTAACTCCCTCTTCCCTCCCTCCATGCTCCCAATTTGCTTTCCCTTTCTCCAGGGGACCATGTATGTCTCTCTTAGGATCCTCCTTTTTTCCTAGCTTTTCTGATGGGTTACCTCTCTTTTTCAAATGGACATTTACATTTATTATTCAAAGAAGAATACCCTTTTATAGTTTGTTAGAACTTGGATCTGCTCAAAAGGATAAAGTTTATCCCAACATTACAAGAGTTGGTCTGTTAGTCTTCAGTGCTCCATTGGGGAATGTTGATCTCTTATTCTGGGGACCCTGTGAGGTTGCTCCCAAGAGTTGAGTGACAGTTCTCACACATGAACTTTACAGAAGATAACACTGTTTTGCAGTGTCAAAAGTGTCTCACTCTGTGAGCTTCTGGTTGGGTCTTATGATGCTGTGTGCACAGTCACTTGAAGTACAACTTGCATACAAAGTAGCCGGTAACCAATCATGAAGTCCAAAGTTCAAAATGCAGATTTGAAAAAAAAATATCACTGCCATTCACATGGGTGATGATAAGTATTTTGGACATTGGCTAACAATATGGCATTATGTTAGAAGACATACTCTTTCTAAATGACACAGCTCACTGGACTACGAGTCTTCCTTCCATCTGCCATTCAGTGAATGTGCTCATATCCTTAGCCAGGTCAACTCAGATCATCTTGAACAGTTTGTTCTCCTCAGATGCTCCCTGGATCAGTTTCTAGCTCTAAGCATTTCTGGATGGAGCTCATGGTTTCCATTCCATAAACTCTGAGCCATGAAGCCACCCATCATGAGGGAAGGATGAGGGGAGTTGGCATGAGGACTGGTTGATTCTTCCTGCTGAGCCTCAAAAGTGACAGCACAGTTTGCAAGAGAGGAGAGAAAGATGAGGCTTCAAGACTTGGAGGAGAACAGAGTGAGGCTGGGAACACACAGCCAGTGCTTGGATGAAAAGGACATATGGTCACAGGAAGAACGGCAGTCTTAGGGACCTGTCTTCAGCTGTCCCTCTTGCTGGGACAGTGTCTGTTACTTCCTAAAGCTGGAACCACATTAGGGGACCTGAGGTTTTAAATAGCTGATGGTGTCACTGTAAGAAAGCCCATGACTCGCAGTGAAGTCAACTTTCACTGCCAGTAAACATGTTTCTTCATGTAGACCTTGAAAAATGAGCCAGACCCCAAAGACAGGTTTCCATTTGAGAGTTCAACCATGATTTGCTCATAACATATTTTAGTTACATAGACAACATCACTGTGAAAGCAGACTGAGGTGGCCCGCCTATCAATATTTCAGGCTTCTAGTTCTGTAGGAGTTAACAGGCCTTCCTAATGCCTAAGCCTTGGCTGTCATTAGAGACAGCCATGGGATTTATACAACACACAAAATGTTCTTACCAATACAACTATGAATTTTTTTTTCTTGGAAATGACTTAAGTAATCAAGTTTCTAAACCAATCAGAACACAACTTTATACCAGAAGGTTATTTGAAAAGAGCAAATGCTATCTCTCAAATTAATCAAATGTCAGTTGTGTAGCTTGAAAAAAATATTATAATTTTTGACTTTTTAAAAAAATGTATTATCTATTTTCTTCTCATTCACAAATCATTTCTGAATTTGGCACTTTACTGAATGTGATGATCCTGTATTCCTGATGTAAGCCATGTGTTTCTAAAGTGGACAAATGTCCACTTTGGCTTGTAGATTCATTTGTGGCTCTTTTCCATTTGCCTACTAAAGACCCGTTCATTCTACAGCCCTAATTCCTGAAAAGCAACCAGCTCAGTTTGAACCATGCAACTCTCCTCCTCGGGGCTGTATTTCTGACTATTTGAACCACGTTGTTCTCCTTCTCAGTCTGTATTTGATTAGCAGCTACAGAGAACTGCTTTCAGTCAAAGCTTACAGTGAACACTACCACTTGTGAAGCAGGCAGGGGGCACTTAACCTTCCCCCACAGTTTTAGAGAGAAGTATGTTGGGGAAGAGAATTAATCACAGACAAAATCCCACCTATGGGCTTCCTCATGAAATCTGTCAGTATGGTATAAATGGGCAGACAGTCTACATTCAGACGTGAAAGATATCTCTCAGCTTCTGGAGTCCTCTAAGACAGACAGGGGATATTTATCTCCTGAAGATGTGAGAAGTGACACACTAGTATAGAGTATGCATTAAAACCATCATCACAAAACAGAGGCACATTCATAAATCATAGTCATTAGCATCTGACTCTAATGATTAAAGTTAAAATCAGGCAGATGGTGATGTGCAAAAAGGTTAACACTTGAATAAATGATTCAGTAGTTCCCGGAAATTTCCAGCCGGTGTATTATTTATGTAATTCTCAAAGTCTAAATATTTCTATTTTGGATGCTGTGTAGCCAAACACATTTATTTCTGAGCAATGAAGCAAATCAAACAAGGTTGATTAAAAATAAACTTTTATGCCTAAAATTTATGCTCTCAGACTTATGTATCATTCAAGTTGCACCCAGGACTGCTCTGTGCTGGTGATAGATGATGTAGAGTGGAACTCAACGTGACTAAGCATGACCCTTGCAAAGAGGTTTTTGTATTATAGATTTTTTTCCTCCATTTAACACTTCAGAAGTTAATTTCTCATCATATTTTTTGTCAAAGCAGATGTGATGTTAAAGCGCATAAATAGAGGATGAGAAATTGTAAAATTAAGTTCCTGTCACAGGATGTCACTGCTGTGGATAACTCACCAGACTGCAGAGGAAAAAAATGTTCCCTCATCTCCTAGGTCTCTGATCTACGTCACCTCGGGTGCTTTCATTCCAGGGCGGATACTTCTAGACTACCCGTGGGATACAGCAAATGCTAAGACCATATTGGATTTCCACAAGCTGAATTAGCAGAAAATGAAGATAAAATGCTTTCCTATTTCTGAACATGATGATGTTTTAATTGCTTTAGCATTTGGCATGTCTAATGTATACAGTCCTTGACGTTCATGCAGTAACAAAGGAGAGCTGCTTGAGAATTTTCTTTTATTTCCTAGCATCCCCTTCTCATGTTTCTCCCACCCCCACTCTGCTCCTGCCTTTCACTCTCCTCCCATCTCTTCCTCCTTCTATTCTCTGCAGTTAGGATGCATGTAAAAATAACTCCTCTCTGTATAGATGGCCAAGGCTGCTGTTACCTAGCTGTGATGTACAGACCACCATCGCTGTGACAACTGATGTGGATGCCTCCGGGTGAAACAAAGGTTTATACATTACACAGCAATTTAACTGCTTTCTAAACATATTGCCAAGACAGCGGGAGCTGGCACCCAGCAGTACGTTTTAGGTTTTGGTGAGCTGGATTAGAAGTAACTGTTGATTGTGAACTGTTTTTATTTGTCTCCTATGCACTACAAGCAACCTCGTAACTCAGTAAGGAATTCCTCATAGCATTTAAAGCACTCTCCCTAGTTTCCCAAGCTTATATGTTCAAATCTGACGAAAGTGGCGTAAGAGTCCTATGCCCAGACAATTGTCCTGTTCTAACCTTTAAAGAGCCACACAGAGAAATGTTTTATGATCCTCTTCTGTGCAGTGGGCACAGGACAAAGATAACCCAGAACAATGAAGAGACTTTTCAGGGTTCCGGGTTGAAACACAATAAAGAACATAATTAACTTCACAATTCTTTTTGTTTTCCATTTGACTACAGGGAGGAGATGAAAGGGGCCTGCTAAGCCTTGCATTCCATCCCAATTACAAGAAAAATGGAAAGCTGTATGTGTCTTATACCACCAATCAAGAACGGTGGGCTATCGGGCCTCACGACCACATTCTTAGGGTTGTGGAGTACACAGTATCCAGGTACCCCTAACTAATGTGCATGGAAGCCTACAACCTCTGAGGCATTGTTTACTCTTCATCTCACAAACTATTTAGAAATGATTGCAATGAATTGGTAGTAATTAAAGCAGAACCTTCTCATAGCTTAAAACACATACATGTGTGTTTGTGTGTGCATCTGTGTGTGTGTGTGTGTGTATAAGGGAAATCAAGTAAAATAATGTCTTAGGTATTTTTCCTCAATTATATTCAATTTTTAATGACATCCCTAAATGTAGAGATTAATGTAATTTTTCAGTAATTCTGATTAGCTCTGTTGTAAAAGTCATTCTGTCAGCATAGCTTCCTCTCCATTGGATTCGCATTATGCCCGGAAAATCATGGTGCTTTTCCTTCCATCATGCAGAAAAATCCCCATCAAGTTGATGTGAGAACAGCCAGGGTGTTTCTGGAAGTTGCTGAGCTCCATCGAAAGCATCTTGGAGGACAACTCCTGTTTGGTCCTGATGGCTTTTTGTACATCATCCTTGGGGATGGTATGATCACACTGGATGACATGGAGGAGATGGATGGGTTAAGGTAACAGACTGCTTACCAACAAGTACTCTTTGACATTCACATGCTTTCAATGCCAGGACACGGGGTCTGAACCAGCAACTGGGAACCATGTCTGATGATTGAATCCATGGCTATTTTATGCTGATGGGTCACTTGGCTTTGTCCTAAAAAAAAAAAAAAAAAAGTTGTTGCTGCCTGTGACACAAAGCCTTGGGGAAGGCACCTTTTCCTCTGGGCCCAGCCGCTGGGCAGTATACTCTCCCCCAACCCCATGCATCCATGCTGCTGCTCCACCCTCTGCTAATGAGCAAGCTGATGTCTTGGGGACACAAAACACATAGACTGGCAAAAATTAAAAAGAACAGATTTACAAAAACATAAGCAGCATACTATGGCATATCCTTGGCCACCCTCCATCTGTACCCAAACTGCCCCTCGTCTCCCTCCCTGCCATATGGAATTTGGAAATCAAGTAATTTTGAGTCAAATGAGGGGATGATTTCTTTTCTCCTTAGAGAAACTTCACCCTGTGTACGCAAATGAAACACACAACCCGAATGTGAAGTACTCACTCCCCCTCCAATTTTTCAGTGATTTCACAGGCTCTGTGCTGAGGCTAGATGTGGACACCGACATGTGCAATGTGCCTTATTCCATACCACGGAGCAACCCCCACTTCAACAGTACCAACCAACCCCCAGAAGTATTTGCCCATGGACTCCATGATCCAGGCAGGTGAGGACATCTGCCTACCTTCTCCCTACTTTCAAAAGCAAAACGACAAAATTTGAGATCTAGGAAGACAAATAGGATGTCTGACCACAAAGTAGCAAGGGGTGGTAGCCCTTTGTACTTCTGAAATCATAGGGCGCTATTAACTAAGCAAGCATTTAGCCCACTTTCTAGCACTTATCTGTGAAGGCTGTTAAAAAAGATTAAACAAGAGAAAATACAAGTTCTTAGAGAAAATTGGGGGGGGGGTTGCTATTAGATACACTTTGGCTTTCTTTTGTTCTTTTTTCTTTCTTTCTTTCTTTCTTCCTTTCTTTCTTTCATACCTCTAAACTTCACTTTCCTATTGGCTTAGTCTGTTTTATGTTGCTTCAGCATGAAGAGGCATACTGGGTAATTTGGCTCACAGATCTGAACGCTGGGCAGTCTGAGCCCATGGTACCAGCATCTCAGTGTCTGCTGAGAGGCTTCTTGCTTCTACAGCTCATGGTAGAAGGTGAGAGCAAAAGAGAGGGAGGGAGGCAGAAAAGTTGCCAAACTCATCCTCCTGTGAAGGACTCACTCGTAGGGTAACCAGCCCCCCCCCAAAACAGTAGCATGAGTGCATTGGTGAAAGTAGTGTTCTCATGACACCATCATCCCCTAAAGGTCCCATCTGCCCTATTGACAGTACTGGAGACCAAGGTGCCAGGATGTGAGCTTCACATGATACATTCAGACAATACCACATGTGCTAAACAGGAGTGGCGACAAGTGTGTTCTAAGGGCCCTGCCCAAATTATATAAAAGAATCACAGATAGAGTTCAGATCCGGGCCTTGTGCCTCCCACCAGGCAGCTCTTACTGCCATGGTTTCACTTAATACAAGATGATGTAGCGTTAATTTGCAAGGAACTGAGGTAAATGTTAGTGTCTCTCATGCTTTAAAAACTTACAGATACTAAAGGAATCCATGTTGGCAGTTCTCTTCTTATGCTATAATGAACCATAAAGAACAGAAAAATAAGAAATCTATAGAATGAAGGGTTTCGGGCACACTTTTAAAATTCTATGAACTGTAACTGAAATTCTCTGATGAAAACCCCTTCTAGTCTGGCCTATCATTCAGACTAAGGGGTATGTGGTCACATTCATTCATTTACTAGCTTAGTTATTATTGCTATTTAATGTTTATTAAGTGTTCACTATGTGCAAGGTGAATATTTCTCAACCTTTTTATTTTTATAATCCCTCATGCCCTTCATCTTTCCTCCATCAAAGCCCAAGTCCACAGTTCATTTCCTTTTTGGCATCTCCACAGATCTTAAAATCTGTTCAGCAGGGAATACTTAAGGTGGGGTCAGGATGTGGAGGAAACTGTCACATTCCATTCCTATAGCTCAGAATGCACAGACACCACAACGCAGCACTTTGAAGTGAAGCAGCCTAAGTCACCACCCTCCCACCAGAGCGTTCCTGCAATGTTCCTGGGGGTCCAAGCCTCAGTGCAAAAACAGGGTGAGGCGCTTTCCAGACCCTACGCGTGGCACGGTGCCTGTGCCATGGAGCCTTGCTTCCTCTGGCAACTGAAGGCTGAAGAAAAATTCTGTCTGTATTCTGCTTCTCTTGCAGAGAATCTCAGACAGAGAAAGATTAAATGAAGAGAAAAGAAACTGAAGCCATCATTGGCTAAAAGCAAAGCTGACTGTCATTAGCACCCTCCATAGGGTGCTAGACTAGGTATCCCTGTTGGTAGTGCTCTGGTAGCTGTTCGGGTAGCACCTTTTTAAACTTTTCATTTGTGTGTGTGGTGTGTTTGCACACCCACACTTACACACATAGAGGCTAGACCACAGAGGGCCCGATGCCTCCCTCCTTTTCTCTATTTTTCAAGACAGATGTTACTGAGCCTGCAGCCCAATATTTCAGTGAGAGTGACTGCTCAGCAAGCTTTGTCTTTTCTAATACACACACACACACACACACACACACACACACACACACACACACCCGACTCCCAATACCAGGGTTATAGGCTTTTGGCATGTCTGACTTTTACAAGAATGGTAAGGAATCAAACTCAGATCCTCTTCATCCTCAGCATATTCTCTTGCCCACTGATTCAAGTCCCCAGTCCTACATCTTCTTTTTTAGGTTCACAGTAAAGTGACCATAAGGTACAAAGAGCAGCGGTAAGCCCTATACCCACATTAACATAGCCTCTCCCCCCTTATCATCATGCCCAGTAGAATGACTTTCAATGAACAACTAAGGAGACATCGTTGGCACATCAGATGTCCCTGGTTGACAGTACACCCACTCTGTGCTGCTTTTAGACAAATGGGTGGACACAGATGTCCTTATCTTAGCCTCACCTGGTTAGCTTTACATCCGGTTTCTTTTCATCTGAGAAGCTGAAGGTGAGAAGATGGAGTAGAACTCACAGCCCCTAGCAGCTCACCTCAGAGAAAGCATGCCTCTGCTTCAACACATTGGCTGCTTCAGGTTGGAGATAAGTCAAACTTCTTTTTGTCATACATTCTTGATCTTCACAAAAAGAACCTAGAAAAAAAATCCTCTCACCCTGTGGGACTAAACTACTAAGTCACAGCATGCCTGTGTCTCCATTCATACCAGACACTGTGTTGTAGGTGTAGAACTGTCCCAGCTCCTGCTTCTTTATCATGAATCAGCTGGTTGGAGCCCTCGGTTGGTTTTATTGTAATAATCGCTAAATGGCTCTCCATCTCTGAAGCCCCTACTCTTCATTTTTTTAAAAAACATTTTTCATTTATTTAAAACTCAATGGTTTGGCTTATAAGTAGTTAATGTATTTTGTTGGCCCAAACAGCATTCTCAATGGAATGTTTTTGCCTCCAGGGACATTTGACAATGTCTAGAAACAGATTTGTATTTCACAATTGGGATGAAAGGGGCTAAGAGCTGGGCAACACTACTGTCATCTAATGGGTCAAGTCCAAGGAGATTGCTAAGAATCCCATAGTTCACAAAATGGTACCCCTCACCCCAGAACAAAGGTTACATGGACCCAACATGTCAAGAAGCCTGTTTTTTTGTTCGATTTTTATTTGCTTGTTGTCTTGTATTTTTCGAGAAGTTCAGACATTGCCACTAGGCTTCATTCCCCCTCCAATCCTAGCCTCTTATTCACTTGAGCATGCTGGGAATTTTGTGGTCTCTTAAACCTAGAATAGGTAACAGTAATACAGTGACTCCCCCCCCTCAGTGGTTAGAACCACGGAGATATATTGATCTCCACGTCAGGTATGCAGGACATGAAGACAGGCAGAGGAGTTTTATTTTGCTATAGCTCCCAGGGTATTATAGCGTAACCATTCCAGAACTGGTGAGATCACTCAGAGGGTAAAGGCATTTGCCACCAAACTGAGTTCAATCCCAGCAGCAGAAGGCAAAGGAAACCGACTTCCATAGATTGTTCTCTGACCTCCACACAATATATACTATGGTGTGTGTTCATGCAGGTATGCACGCATGCACATATGCGGCACACACACACACACACACACACACACACACACACACACACACGTTAGCATTCCAAGTAGGAAACACAACTAGTTCTAAGGCTAATATATTACATACATTGTGTGGCACAGTTGATGGTAGCATTGATTCATATTTCCAACCTCTGCCAATGTGCTATGCATGAGGTAATCCTTACCGATAGGCTAACAAAGGTTTTTAAGATGATGAGCACATTCATTAGAAGAAAGATAGCCAGAAAAATTAAGAAACAACACTCCTGAGGTCATTGGCTGCAGCAGGGTAAACAAACACATCAGATGTTTCCTTTGCTGGTTTCAAGAACACTCTAACTAAATTGCTCATGGGACCCTGGCCAGCCCACAGAGCGGCCCTTTCTATGTCATGAAGACCCTGGTAGGAATTAATGAGTGTCTGCCTCCTTTATTGTGTAGATGTGCTGTGGATCGACATCCTACTGATAGAAACATCAATTTAACAATACTTTGCTCAGATTCCAATGGGAAAAACAGATCATCGGCCAGAATCCTACAGATAATAAAAGGGAAAGATTATGGTGAGTCAAGCCTGTGGTGGTTGCTGTAGGTGAAGATTGGTTTTAGTATATTAATTGGAGAAAAGGGAGTCTGCATAATGAGCATTTGAGAAAGCATAAAAACAGTGGCCTCTGTCAGGCCAGTGAGTAAATTGCTCCGTTTTTTTTAAAGGTTCAAGGACTCCTCCAAGCCCTGAGGGTTACTCTGCTTAATTGCCTTTCCCATGGATTGCAGTCTTCCCTGTGGGTTCAAATAGTTTAATGGTCTCAAAAGTCAGTGGCTTGCATTTTGCTCATCTGAGACTCAAGGTGGGGAACTTCTCTTTATTCCCTCTTATATGGGGGAACTTGTCTTAGCATCTTATATGCAGACAAATAAGTTTAGAGGGAAGACATTGCTGAACATTCAACATGCAAGTCTCAGCAATTAGGAAAATAAAGTTTCTAATAAAAATAATTTTAAAATGGGTTTCTTTTAGAGAAAACAAAGTAATTGACTTGTAAAAACATGTCATGGGAATAAAATGTTTAAACATTATTTTTAATAACATGATTACTGGGGTATTTACAGAGAACTTAAAAACATAAAGTTGGATAATGAAGTCCAAAACACTGAATTATTTTCAATGCTGTGTTCATACTCCTTTTGAAGGCCACAGTATAGTAAGCATTTTTATGACTTAGGGAGCACAGGAGATTGAAATTATTAAACCGATTGCTCCTTCTGTTTACTCATTCAACAGAGCTATTTATTTTAGCACTAGGAGTAGGGAGGGCAGCTGTGTTAGTTCATGCAGTATTCGGTTATTTTTCTCTCTCTCTCGCACGTGTGTGTGTGCGCGTGCGTGCGTGCGTGCGTGCGTGTGTGTGTGTGTGTGTGTGTGTGTGTGTACATTTATGTACACTTTAAAAAGCCAAATGAAAGAATAATGTTACTTGGGGAAAAAAAGTCTAACAAGCTACTAATTCAATGGATTTGGGCTATATCGGGAAATTAAGCTAAATTCTACTAACCACATTAAGTTCCAGGCAAGACCAGTTAAAGTATTAATAGCCTTGCATTTGCATATTTTTAAAACACATCCAAAGTGCACCGCAGCTCCCTCTGTGAACACATTCACAGAACCCTGTAGGTGATAGGCACTGTCATCAGCCACATTGTACAGAGGGGGGACACTGAGGTACAGAAAGGTTAATTATCAAACTAAAATTTAACAACAAAGGGTGGATTTGAACTGCAGCAGCCTAACTTAGTCATTCAACAGTGCCTTCTGTCTGGTGTAGGGTATTTAAAACTGGTCTTTTCCATGCTTTGTTTTATCATAGTCATACCAGAAGAATAGAACCTTTAAAATGACTGTGTTGCCACAAAGTCACCTGAATAAGGTACCTACTGGTGTTGTGACTTATTTGACAGTAAAAGCATCCCCAAGTGAATATGCCACATATGATTCAAAGGAACTCCTGAAGCTGCATTTGTTAACCTCACAACTCCATAAACTAAACTATTATGGTGCCTTAAGTCAAGATATTACTCGACTGAGTGACAGTGTTTCTACGAATACAGTAAATGTGGACTTGAAGACCTTTTACATGATATGGTTTTATATTTCATTAAAGTGTGAAATTTAAAACATTTTAAAACATTTTATAATTTGATAGGTTTGTTTGATTTACTAAATGCAAGCAGAACCAATTTTAGAGATGTTAATTGTTCAAAACTCAGGCTTTAAAGTATTTTTTTCTATAGTAAATAACACTGATTTCAAAATATCTAGTTTTGAATTGTGTTAGAATCTTGATGTGTTCTGACTGATAACAATTAGCAATCACCTGATGGGCAGGTTTATTTTGTTAAACTTACATTTTGGTGCTATTTAAGCAGTTTCATTATCCTTATTAGTATATCTGGAAAAGGTCCATATCTTGCTTTTTGAAACACAATTTGGAATTAAATTATTATAATACTCAATAATTGATCTGTATCACTTTTACTTCTGAAAATGTCTCATTTGCTCTAATGATTTTTTTTTCAGAAAGTGAGCCATCCCTTTTAGAATTCAAACCATTCAGTAATGGCCCTTTGGTTGGTGGATTCGTTTATAGAGGTTGCCAGTCTGAAAGACTGTATGGAAGCTATGTTTTTGGAGATCGCAATGGGTATGTTTCTGAATGCTACAGTTTCTTGTATTGTTTGGCACACTACGAAAAATTATTCAAGTGGCTATCCCCCACATGTCAGACCTTGGACACACACAAAGGTTATTACTTCCTTGTGTTTTGCCTCATCTAAAAGCTTAATTGTAGAGATACTTCTAAAAAGATTCTTCAATAGGTTCAGTCACTTCTATGGGATAATGTTCAAAGGCAAAGAAGTCTTGTGAGGGACTTTCCACTTATTTTGACTGTTCTTTTTATCCTCAACCTAATTACAAAACTTGTTTTATGGGAATTGTAAAAGCTGTTTTAAAAATTACCCTGGAAAGCTCAGAATTCTGGCAGTGCCAAATTCGTGGGGCTTTGTGCAGCGGCATACAATCCATCTATGTAGTAGTTGCTATAAGGGGCTGGTGAAATCCATGCTTCTTTCTGGCACTCACCCTCAGCGTCTGCAAGAGACAGGGGACTGACCATGCCTACCCTGTGTTTTACCTACCCTTCTTATACTGGTTTCAGCTGTGCAGCCTATGGTTGAGACCGGCTTTCTCTTACTTGACCTTTCCAGGATCCTTTCCAAACCCCATCTTATCTTTGAGTCCTGTATCCTCATGTGGTATTTTCACAGTTCCTGCACAGGACAAAGTAGTGCTCCCACACAGTACAGGAGTGCTCTCATACAGGATAGATCAATACTCCCACACAGGACAGAACAGTGCTCCCTCCCACACAGGGTAGAGCATACTCTTCCCTTGAGAAGCAATAAATGTCTTTGTGTGGGGGGCAGGGAGGAAGTCTTTATCACAATTTCTATTTTAAAACATTTTAGGATGCCACATAAGTCATGGTGTGTTTTCACTGTAGGTTTGTGGTGTGTTTTGTTATAGGAATTTCTTAACTCTGCAGCGAAGTCCAGTGACCAAGCAATGGCAAGAAAAGCCACTCTGTCTAGGCACCAGCGGTTCCTGTCGAGGTTACTTTTCAGGTCACATCTTGGGATTTGGAGAAGATGAACTAGGTACCATATCTACTTCCCCCATTGAGTTCTAGTTTCACTCCTTGCTTGGGAAGCTTTGTTGTCTTATAGAATAAAGGTCTCATCTTACATGTGTTGGACATGTACCCCACAGCAAGGGTGACCTCCATAGAATCTCAAGATAGTACAGTTAGACCTTCCTTCCCAACAACCTTCCCCAAGGATCTTCATACCTGGTTTATATTTTGGAAATATTAAAGTAGCAAAACAGAAAAAAAAAAAGGCAGAAACAAGAAAAAACATAAGTTCCAAATGTTTTCATACCTACTGATATTTCTTGCTCTGTGCTATGACAGTCCTTTTATTTTCTATGTAAAAACAGTCCCACTTGCCCATGCCACTTTAATGTATTTTAGAAAGCAAACCCTGAATGAAGCTAATTTACCCTCTCTATTGTTAACTTATTTATTTTTCCCATTTGAGAATAAAATTTGTGTGAGATAATCTGAGGGCTATAGATCATTGCCAACAGAACAGAGGTAATCTTACTGGCCAGTATGTGACAATGTTTTTGGCATATTTATTAATGTATGGAGACTGTGTGTATTGAAGGCCTCATCACTGTGCTGTGGTGCTATTAGGAGACGGTGGCACCTTTAACAGGTGAGCCTCAATGTGAGGAAATTGGTGCTCTTTAAAAAAGAACTTAGATTTATTGTATTATTTTATATTCATGGTGTTCTGCGTCCATATGTATACACCATGTACATGCTTGATGCCTATGAAGATCAGAAGAGGATGTCAGGTTCCTGGCGACTAGATGTATACATGGTCATGAGGTGGCATGTGGGTGCTACGAATTGAACTAGATCCTCTGCAAGAGCAACAGGTGCCCATTTTAACCTCAGAGCCATTGCTCCAGCTCCCAAATTGGCTCTCTTGAAGAGAGAGTTGGAAACTTGTTTTTGTCTGTATCTTTGCTCTCCGGCTGCTGTGTGGGCAGGAGATCTTCTTCTTTGCCTACACTTCTGTAGTGGTGTGTCCCAAGTAACAGAGATAGGTTAACACCATTGCAATCCCTAAAACCAAGAGCTAAAATAAAAAGTATCTCCATTAAATAAATAATAAATAAATAAATAAAATACATAGGAAGCCTAACGAGAAGGGAGTTGGAATTGGAGTCTGATTAATTGGAAAGTGAAATTGTGCACTCTCCACTGTTTTAAATTATAGACTTCAGTGTAACTTTTGTGGTATTTTACTTAACTACACCCTAACAAACCATGACGACTACAGTCCTTCAGCTTCAGAAATGAATTTTAAGACATAAAAAGAAAGAATGTTTCTTTCCTAAGTCAGAATACTCTCTCTATAATGAAAGTACAGGTTGATTTTCTTTATACATTAAATGGGAGAAATCAACACAAATAGTTACATGCCATTCACTTAGATTAGTAAGGAACTCAGGCAGCTCTCCCCAAAATACATAGGAAGTATTTGAGAAACATTGGGATATAATAATTAGGACAGGGATTTGTCTGCTCTTGCTCCAGAGTGTAAGCATTTTTTTTTCCCGAGATGGAGTTTCTCTGTGTAGACCAGGCTGCCCTCTAACTCAGAGATCCTTTGTCTCTGCCTCCAGAGTACTGGGATTAAAGGCAGGCACCACCACCACCCACCATTCCCAGTGAAAGCATTTTATATCTGGGTTTTTTCTTTGATGAATTTCTACCCCCACTCAAGGGAGTCAGAAAGATAAGAGTCAAGCTTTGTAGAATAATTTAAATGTCATAGGCAGACTTTAATTTTGGGAATAACTAGGGCTATGGGTGGGCATTGGTGGTAGAGCACTTGGCTAGAACACTCGAGACTCTGGGTTTTCACAAGAAAGAGGGAGAAGGAGAGGAAGAAGACAGAGCAGGAAAGAAGGAAAAGGAAGGAAAGATAGAAGGAATGGGAAGGAGTGGGGGGCCGCAAGAAGGAACGAAGGGAGGGGTTTATCTGGGCAGCTTCACACTTGACCTAACTTAAGCCATTTCACTCTTGAAAACAATTACTGGGTAAGAACAAACCTGCAAACAGAGGTAGAGACAGGGGCCCCAGGGAGGAGGCTGTTGGCTGTGATCCAGGTGAGGAGCAATATCCTCCTGAACAGGAATAGTCTGAGGATGGGGGCAGGTGACTAGGCTCAGGTCCAGTGCAGAGGAGGACTCATGACTGCTGTCACAGCCTTAGGTATAGGGTCTTCCTGAGGCTAGATGGAGACCCATGATATCTGCTTGGCTATGATGCCATGCTATGAATTCATTCTGTACTATTTCTCTTTTCAACAGGAGAAGTTTACATTTTATCAAGCAGTAAGAGTATGACCCAGACTCACAACGGAAAACTGTATAAGATCATAGACCCCAAAAGGTAAAACTTCTTTTTTCTGTTATTCCAGGTCTTTAGTTCACACTAAGGTGTTATAGAAGAGATGTAGTTTGTGATGGGCTGGAATGAATGAACATTCTACCCTTCCCATCACAGACAGCTGCACTTGACCTAGAAGGACTTGAAAAGCTCATTCATATTATTCTTTTCCTCCCAATGTAGAGCCAACATTCCCAGTTAAAAATCAGGAGAGGACTCTAAAACATGCAGGACACTGGCTTCAGCTCTCAAGTTAGAAAAGAACAAACCTTTTAATTTTGAGAAAGTGAGAGATGTTCTGGTGGATATTGCCCTTCTTAGTATGATTTTTGTTAGATAGGCAAGATAAGTTATCTTAACAGTTCAACAAACGAACCTCATTTCAAAATGACCAGCCAGTTCATAGCACTCATGAAGCCTGTTTGATCAAGCCAATGAAAGCTAAAGGACTGTTTCATTATTTGCTTCAGTAAAAGGAAGGTTTGAAGATTATATTTTGGTGGCTTAGTAGATAAAATGTTGCCTTGGAAGCATAAGGACAAGAGTTCAGATCCCCAGAACCCACATAAATGTGGAGTGGAATGGTAGCTATCAAGGAGGCAGAGGCAAGGCATTGCCAAGGCAGACTGCCTGGCTAGACCAGCCAAACAAGTGAGCTCCTGGTTCAGCCAGAGACCCAGTCTCAGTAAAGGAAATAGAAAATGATCAAGGAAAATACGTTAACATCTGGCCTACACACACACACACACACACACACACACACACACACATACTTGCATACACATATACCCACATACATGTGAACATGCACACACAGATACATGCTTAACACGTGTGTGTGTGTGTGTGTGTGTGTGTGTGTGTGTGTGTGTGTGTGTGTATTCTGCGGCTGTTTCCTCCCCGTCTACCCATCTCAATGTTGGCACACACAGTTCTCCTGTGGTTCCAATCACCATTCATCAGTCATGATTTTCAAGTATGAGAGCTGAACTTTCTGAAACTGTTAAAATTGCATGCTACCACATGGATGTCAGTCATAAGGAACTAACCATTTTTATAGATACAAATAGTTAGTGACTAACTAGCACTCCTTACTCACTAACCCCATGCAGCAAACTTCAAACTTCTTTGAAGTTTTTCTCAAGAGAATCAATTCTAGTGATGGGAAAGGTTAGCCAAAGGTATTGACACCATTCAACTCTTAAAATATTATTTGTAAGCTGTCAATTGTGTTTTCCTGGGAAAGCAACGATCTAGTGACTGGGCAGACTACCTTTTCTCTCACCACAAAACATTTCCTTTCCTGAGAAAGCTACAGGTTAGCATTGGCTACTGCACAACGAAGAGGAGAACCCATGAGAAAGGAGAAGTAGTCCCTGTCCCCTGCTCACTGAGAGCATGACCTTTCTTCTTTACAACAGGAGACATGCTTATTGTCACATATGGAGTTGCAGTGAGGTTTTTCCTCTGTATGTGTGAAATCAGTGTCGTCTTTGAGAAAAGAAAAGAAATGAAAAACTATCAGACATGTAGGAGGGTGCTGAAACTGGCAACAGTACAAATACAAGCCAAACTTGTGTGAACTGCTAACACAGAGCGCTGCAATGACCTCAGTGCAGGCGTGGGCTTCCACCTGACCTGTGGCAATTACTTTCAAAATGGTTACTGTTGCTCCATTATGTTGTCAAAATTGATCGGTTTCTGAAGCTTCCCCACAGTAGGGTAATGAATTCTCTCCTTACCCCTACCCTCCCTGCCACACACAAAATCTCTCTTGATCTGGATTGTTTAGTCTGTTGGAGAATAGAAGTGAAGTTTACACCTTCAATCTATTATTAGGATCTAATTATCAGGGTTGCCATGAGTGACCTTGGCTTTGTGATCTTAGGGACCCCTCTAGTAGGGTGGTCTCAGAGTGACATACCTGAAGGCCTGGCTCCTCATTATGGGGCTGTTTCTGGTGATTCATGTCATGGGTGGGGGAGGGGAAGGGTTAAGATCTGTGTTTGCTTTGCAGAGGTGGGAAAGTAAGAGAATTGCAGAGACCCACCCTCCTCCATGGGTATCAGCGTATTCTAAATTAGACCAAGTGCAAGGGAGCTAATGTTTTCGTAAATGCCTGTGGGGACCCTCTTACTGTTTTGATGTGAATGCCAGTGATTATTATTGCAGTGTTTTCCCAAAAAGGACTGGTACATGAGCAGACACTTGTGTGTAGACAGGATTATTTGGGGCTACACAAGTTAATTGCTAATATAGCATGTTTAAGAGGTCAGGCAGAGTAGAAATGTCTTTTTAAAACTGAATAAAGAACATCATCAACTTTATAAACATATATATATATATATATGGATATGCCTTGTTATTTCAAAAATCTAACAGATTGAATGGTTAAGTTCATTGTCTTCTTATAGAGAAGCACCTAGATTTGTTAGAATATTTTCAAAATAGCTTTCATATGTTATGGATTCATGACGCTGGGAGAGACAAGTACTAAATTGCAATTTATCATATTTTTATATAAGGCATCATAGAAGTTATGTACTTAACATAGTATTTATGCTACATTTTCTTACACACACACACAATGAACTTAGAAATAAAAATGTAATAACTCTTTTTTTTAAAGATTTTATTTATTTATTTATTTATTTATTATGTATACAGTGTCCTACCTGTATATGTACATTTATGCCAGAAGAGGGCACCAGATCTCACCATAGATGGTTGTGAGCTATCATGTGGTTGCTGGGAATTGAACTCAGGACCCTTGGAAGAGCAGCCAGTGCTCTTAACCTCTGAGCCATTTCTCCAGCCCCAAAAATGTACTAACTCTTAATCAAATTTGGGAACACATGTGAGGTTCTAGTGTTGCCAATCCAGTCTTCAAGTACAGTTTAGTCTAAGGCTGTAAAGGGCAGAATCACAATAAGTTTTCAATTATTTATTGTGGAGCAGCTCCCTTAGAAGAAGGTCTTTTTAAAAAGTAAAGATCATTAAATTTTAATTAATAACTTCTAAGTTAATATATAAAGTAATAGGCTTCTTGTACATTTTATGCTCACATATATTTGTATGTTGCTCCTCGCACTGCCCATTACCCTTCTTTCTTCCCCTCCCCCCCTCTCCAAGAGGCCATCATCTATAATGAAAATTTAAAATGAAAGATGGCCAGCTTTCCTAAGTTACTTAGGGAAAAGCCTTCCCTGGAGAGACAGTACAAGAGTGGAAATGTACAACACACTTCCAGGACATCGTCAGAGCTGGGATGTTACCTCTCATGTCAGAATGGAATTGGGATCTAACCAACAGCTTAGTCAATTTTGAGTTCCTAAACTCTCTTGCACTCAATTCAGTGTGTCCCATGATCTCCCCGTGGAGCTCTACCAGTTGTTAGGTGGTATCATAGGGGCAGGCATAGATGCACAGACTATAAGATTTGGGTAGTGGGCCTCCTTTCACTAGGAGGTACTGAATTTTGTTTCTGAGTCTTCCTTGAAATTCAACAGCACACAGATCGTTACTGTGCTGTCCCTTAGCCCGCCAGAAACTTGTACATGACCATTGATTATCTCTTGTCCCTTGACTACATGGGGCTCTGAAGTTAGCTGAATAATGCATTTAATGCGTATTCTAATCTCTAGTCTTGTCAGGCCTCATTCTTTGCATTCCATAATTAATTTCAGGTGCTTTCTCAACTTTTAAGTTTCTCTCACTTCCAAAATTAGGATGCAGGTGTCCAGGAAGCTTAAAAAAGCTCTGAACAAATACATTCAGGTCGTCATTCCTTACGTGCTTGCTCTTTATTAACTCTTTTCAAACTTAATCAAATGTTTTGGGGGTGGGGTGTGAGATGGCTCAGCAGGCAAAGAAGCAAGCACTTGCAGCACAAGCCAGATACCTGAGTCCACCACCTACAGGTAGAAGGAAAGAAACCGTTCTATAAAATTCCTCTCTGAACTTCAAATTGGAGCATGGCACAAAACCCAGACACTAGAATGAATGAGTGAATGAATGAATGAATGAATGAATGAATGAAATTTAAAAGAAGCAGGATCAAATGCTCTCTAGCAAAGGCAGAAACTTAAAGGTTCATACACAGTTGTGTGACTTTGAAGCTTTATCTCTATAGAGTGCAAGACTCTAGTTTTGTTTCAGATGAGCTTAACCCCAAATGCTTTTGTTTTGACTTTCAGATGTTCCCAGGGTTAATTCTCCAGGAATGTGGAAAGAAAGGCTATTCCTGTTGCTTTCCCTCTTCTGAACCCACTCTTCCTGTATTTCAACACCTTGCTTAGCTCCTCTGCAACCAAGCTGCCAGGAGCTTCCTTTTAAGAGGTCTCTAAATTAACAATGCAAATTCCAAGCCAAAGAGGTCATTCTTCAGAAATGCTGTGTCCCCCAACTCCTCTGTGACCAGTATCAAAACCCTTCTGCTACCTCCCCCACTCCCATGAGGTGCCACTTCTTGCCCTTGCTTTGATTTGTTTTTTCTTAATCACTTCATCCTATTCCTCATTATGCAGGACGCTAAAGTATTGTGGGTTTTTTTTTTTTGTTTTGTTTTTTTTTTTTTGTTTTTTTTTTTTTTTTGTTTTTTTGTTTTGTTTTGTTTTGTTTTAAATCACTTTGCTAGCCTAAGCCAGTCTGGGAGCCCACAGGCAGCCCCGTCATCCTAAAGAAACTTATACATAATAGAGCACTTTCATCCAATAAGCCAGTGGAGTCCCAATTCATCAGTCAAAGTTTTATGCAAGTGGCCCCCCTAAGTTGATAAATTCCCACAGTGCCTGTTGACCCAGCTGCCAAGTCCTCTTGCGGCAGGTGGTGTTTTCATGGCCACCCTGCCAGTAATACAAACTGTTTAGCGGCTTCATTGACCTTGTAGCTATTAACTGGGATACAGGCTGCACAAGGGACTAGTTCTCAAACAGGACATAATTTCTTAACACTAGGGGTCATGAACAAATATATGCCCTGTAAAAATTCATCCAGCATGGTCA